CACAAGATACCTGCACACAGGTTTTGGTCTCAAGTTGCTTGGAACATTGAAAGAGAGGTAATTAAAAAGAAATAAGAAAAAGGGGGTCAGCATTTGGCTTTTAAAAGAGGGTTTTTGGGAAAATTTTACTAGAGCTTGAGTGGTGGTACAAGGTACAGTGAATCAAGAAGTCCCCATAACGAAGAAGAAAGAGGTCCCATCGCTCAGACACTTGTCAACAGTCTTGGGACAGTGCCAAAGAAGTCCTGGGACAGTGTTGGACCAGAACAGTCTTGATACAGTCTTGGGACAGTGGTCTTGGGACAGTGGTCTTGGGACAGTGGTCTTGGGACAGTGGTCTTGGGACAGTGGTCTTGGGACAGTGGTCTTGGGACAGTGGTCTTGGGACAGTGGTCTTGGGACAGTGGTCTTGGGACAAGGGTCTTGGGACAGGGTCTTGGGACAAGGGTCTTGGGACAGTGGTCTTGGGACAGTGGTCTTGGGACAAGGGTCTTGGGACAGGGTCTTGGGACAGAGGTCTTGGGACAGTGGTCTTGGGACAGTAGTCTTGGGACACTAGCCTTGGGATAGTAGTCTTGGGACAGTAGTCTTGGGACACTAGCCTTGGGACAGTAGTCTTGGGACACTAGCCTTGGGACACTAGCCTTGGGACAGTAGTCTTGGGACACAAGCCTTGGGACAGTAGTCTTGGGACACTAGCCTTGGGACACTAGCCTTGGGACAGTAGTCTTGGGACACTAGCCTTGGGACAGTAGTCTTGGGACACTGGTCTTGGGACACTAGCCTTGGGACAGTAGTCTTGGGACACTAGCCTTGGGACACTAGCCTTGGGACAGTAGTCTTGGGACACTAGCCTTGGGACAGTAGTCTTGGGACACTGGTCTTGGGACACTAGCCTTGGGACAGTAGCCTTGGGATAGTACTCTCCGGACAAGGGTCTTGGGACACTGACGAAGTACTGGGACAATACCGAACAGTCTTGGGACAGTAAAAGGAAGCCTGGGACGGTACAAAGAAGAGTAGGGACGGTAACTGGAAGTCTTAGGACAGTATAAAAAATTGAAGTAAAATTACAACAAGTTGTTTTAAGACAGAATTAAGACAGAACAAGACTAATTGGAACCCGGTACGGTTGGGACCACGAATAAAGAAAGTTACTCGAAGATTTTAGAGAACTGGAACAAGGTTTTTATCACGTTGTATATTTTCTTTTAAGAATTTGTTTCCACAAAATTTTTTTTATTCTTAGAATAGAATTTTGTATATAATAATATTGTAAATAAGGGAAATTGTAAATAGGAATAATGAAACGGAGTAGGGTACCGGTGCTTGAAAAAAGGTCAAGTGGATCAAACACGAAATATAACTCGTCGCTGCGTGGAACAACATCAAGGGGCCCAGGCAAAACAAGAAATAACTTTTCAGTTAACATGGTCAGCACGAAGAGTGGCACCGAGAGCAAGACGCGAGAAGATGCGAGGGAAAAAGAGGTGGAGCCTACAATCGAAATCGACCTAGAGACACCAGACCAGAGCGTAGATGAACTGGAGAAAAAGACGACGGAGTCAACTCCAATGCCCAATGCAGAAGAACCAAACCCGAAACCCATAGAGTTCTCACCAATAGACGATGTGGCAGATGCAATAGGCAACACCGAAGAAACGGTGAAAGAAGACTCTCAAGTAAAAAAGACATCTTTTACAGAAAGGTTGGCGATGATGGTCGGAATAAAAACGAAAGAGAACGTGACTGAAGAACCAAAAGCTGAAAGAGCACGAACATTTGGGACAGTGAGCACGAAGACGACAGAAGCCAATCCGAGAGAGGAACAAACTAAAGCAGAAGCAACGGCCGAAGAAAGACCAACGGCTGACCATGAAGAGGCTACTCTTGAGCTAGGTGACTTGATGGCAAAATTGAATCAGATCGACAAAAAGCTGAAGCACAGCGAAGAGGACAGAGAAGTGATAAGAAAAGAATTAAGATACAACAAACACGAGTATCTGGATAGTTATTTTAACCTGGCTAAGGCAACAGACGAGAGACTCAAGGAGATGACAGATAAGGTAGAAGCCACCAATAAAGAACGAGATGGAAACATCAAAAAAGATTTGCAACAGTTGAAAAACCGATATGATGATGTCAACAGCCAAATAGGTAGCCTGGAAAAGAGGCTGGACACAATGAGCAAGAATCAGGCCGAAAGTTCAGGTGCAATACAGACGAAATTGGATGCAATCTTGAGAAATTCTACCTCACAAGAAAGACCGGCAGCGGATCGCACGCAAGGCACCAGAGTAGACTTTGTGGAACCACAAAGGGGCAAACGGCAATCGACACCGTTGCCCTTAACCCGGAATACGGTGAGCATAGCACCAACGGCTGATAAAACAATCATGAAAAGTGGGAATTCAAACACAACGAGTGGTCCGGGGGACTCAACAGCTAGCAGCAACGCAGGTCCGGATGCCATGACATGGGCAAGCACTTGGGAGATGATGAACAGGACTCTAGAGGCCTTCGCCACGAGGAACACTAACTCGAGCGATAGGAGAGACGGAAAATCAAGGAAAACTTTCAAGAAGCCAAAAGAATTCAAAGACGACTCAGATGGATGCATTGACACGTGGGTGGAAGTGATGAGATTACATCTAGAACAAGATAACTTAAATGATGAAAGGCAAGCATGCACAGCCATACTCAGTAACCTGGAAGGCACGGCATTGAAATGCCTGGTTGCAAAGAAAGAAGAAGAACGCGATACCGCGGACAAGATCTTCGAGATATTGCTGAATCGATTCGGGTCAGGCATGAAGGGTCACCAAGCGATGATGCGATTTGAAAAGAGAAGGCAGAGGGACGACGAGTCAATAGATCGGTTCCTAGATGATCTCGAGAGCTTGAGAAGAAGGAGTGACCCAGAGGAGTCGACAAACAGAAGAAACTTTAGCATTGCCTCGAAGTTTATTGATGGGGTAAAAAGTGACGACTTAAGGACAATGTTAGCAACATACTACACATTGTCGAAAGACAGCGCACCAACCCCAGAAGAAATGAGACAGAAATCAAGGGAATACATGCTGATGAAACCCAAGAAATACTCATATACAGAAAACAGGAACGCGCAAGGGGGAAGTCAACCCCAGAGGTCGTCATGGTACAAGCCTAGAGATGACATGGACAAGCGCAGATCATGCGCGAACTGCGGGTCGGCGGATCACCACGTGGCTGACTGCACAACATACAAACAAGGCATGAAGAGTCTAGGATATGCACCAGATGAGGAGGACATGAGCCAGATGGAGGAACACGAGTACTATAGTGGCTTAATCATCAAGATAGGCGCAAGATGCTTCTTCTGTAACCAGGAGGGGCACTTCAGAATGGATTGTCCCTTGTTCTGGGAAGCGGTCAAGGACCAGAGTCACCCCAAACATAAGTTGGCATTAGCGGCAGTGCAGAATCAGCGGAATAGACAAAACGAGTTTGAATCTAGGAACTTAGGAGCACCAAGCACGAAATTGCCGACGAAAACAGTGAAAGCTGTAACACATGTTAATGGTGCGATAGAGTCCGCGGCTGGGAACTCGCTAGAGATAAACTATGAGAAAGCGGCGACGGAAGCAATTGCCAAAGTAAAACAGGATCTGGCTGCGAAAGAAATAGAGCAACGACTAAAGCTGGAGATCGAAAGACAGAATTTTAACGAAGCATTAACCGGATCGAACCAAACACCAGAGGCTGTACCGGGCTCAACAAAGACGGGGAATTGTAACACTGTAAAAATGGTGACGGGAAAGCCATTCGGCATATCGAAAATTGGGGCTAGAATAATGTCGATAATCACAGTGGGCGGCCACGAGGTAACCAGAAACTTGAGCGAACCGAGCGACCAGACGATAATGCACATTGACGTGTACGCAGATTGCTTGAGCTGTATAAGCCCACAAACGACTTCTAGAGCCTTGAGAGCACTACTCATGAGAGGGGGCAGCAAGTCGGTACGTGTTGATAGCAGATATACTGAAGCTTATGGTCCACACGAGGTGATACTAAATATAGATGGGATTAACATCTATACCAAGACGATGATAACATGTGACGAAGACCTAATTGGACAAATCTACGTAGGGAAAGAAGAATTGAAAGTGAGATCGATTGGACACTGCGCCATGCTTGAAGAAGATGCAATGCACATCGGGACGGAGGCAGATGTGACAGGGCACGTGCTGGATATAAGTGGCAAAAAGACTCAGTTGCGTGGGTTGCTTGACACGGGAGCAGTCTTGAGCGTCATACCAATCGAAACTTGGGAGAGGATGGGCTTTGACAAAGGCGACTTGATAGACTCGAGAATACGGCTGTCGGCTGCAAACAAAGGGGCCCTTCGGGTGCTGGGCAGGACGCCGATAATAGCCCTCAATTTGGGGGAACGTAACCTGTGGATGAGCTTTATCGTGGTAGAAAACCTAGATGAATCTGACCAATTCATTTTGGGCAGAGACTTCATCAGGAATTTTGACGTAACGATTGATCTAAATAACGCAATGTTCAGGATACGGAACCCGGATAGGAGGTACGCAATTAAACCGGTAAATTTAATAATGGCAAATGAAAACAAAGCACCGGTATTCTTGAGTAGGAGGGTGAGGCTAAAAGCTAATGAAGCGGCAATCGTAAGTTTGAGGATGAAAAATTACAATGAACTAAGTGACAACAAGCAAGTGTGCATAGTTCCGAATCCTAATAGTCAAAGTGCTGCTGTTTTAGGAAGATCATTTTCGATAACGAAGAGCGGCCTCTGCGTCAGTGTCTTGTTGAATACCCTTGATATACCGATCACGATACAGAGAGGGAGGAAACTGGGATATGCTTTACCGGTTAAAACTCGATATGAAACAATTGAGAACTCAAAACAAAATGAAGTTGTTGATTGTCCCAATCACAGGGACAAAATTTGTATCTTGAGACGATTGCAGAAAATAAAAGATTCTTCAGGTCTTATTAAATCACTTAAGTCAGAAACGGATGATGGTCTTTCGAGCTGTTCGAACTTTCCAGAGCGACCCACACTAGATGAAATGCAAAATGAAAAACCCTTCCTGCCGGAGATTGAACATTTGAGGGGCAAACTGAAAGATGAACAGCTCGAAGCCATCAAGGACGTACTAGAGCGGAACGAGGAAGTTTTTTCGAGGCATAAGGCGGATATCGGGTGTTGTAATTTCGTTGAGCATGAAATAGAACTTGAGGAAAACGCGGTACCACACAGGGAGGGGGCGAGGCGCATGACCCCACACAAATCGGACGCGTGTAGAAAAGAGATCGAGACGTTACTAGAGTATGACATGATAGAACCATCCAAGTCACCGTGGGCGTGTGGAGTAGTGATGGCCAAAACGAAAGGCGACCAGTTGAGGTTTTGTTGTGACTTTCGATACCTGAACTCCGTCACGGTGAAGGATGCCTATCCCATACCTAGGATTGATGAGAGCCTCTCGAAGTTAGGTGATGCAAAATTTTTTACGACTCTTGATTTAGGCTCGGCCTTTTGGCAAGTACCACTAAGGAAGCAGGACAGGGACAAGACAGGGTTTGCCTGCGAGTTGGGTCTGTTTCAATGGAAACGGATGCCGTTTGGACTTTGCAATGCCACAGCCACGTTTCAGCGGTTGATGGCACACGCGCTGATAGGCGTAACGAAGAAGTATGGTAACCTGGTATAGTGCTACGTGGATGACGTGGTAATAGCGACGCCAACACTGGAAGACCACATTAGACTAGACGAAGTGTTTGCATGCATGAAGAGGTCGGGGCTAAAGTGTAAACCATCAAAGTGCGAGATACTCAAGGACTCAATAAAATACTTGGGCAGGATGGTAGACAAGCACGGCATCAGACCTGATACGGACGCCGTGGAAGCAGTCCTGACCTGGAAATCACCGAAGACAGAGCACCAGTTGATGAGCTTCCTGGGTTTCGCTAACTATTATAGAGAGTTCATCAAAGGCTATGCAGACAAGGTATACCCGATGCAACAATTAATGAGACACAAGGGCAAGAAGTTCACGTGGAACAACGCAGCAGAAGAGTCATTCCAGAGGATAAAGAAAGAGCTATGTGAGGCACCAGTACTGGGTATGCCGACTGAGAAAGGGATGTACGTGCTGGACACGGATGCGTCGGTGGTCGCGATTTCTGGGATTCTCCACCAAGAACAAGAATGGAATGGGAAGACAGTCTTGAGACCAATAGCGTACGGGAGCAAAGTCCTGAGTGACACGGAAATGAAGTACGGAGCACCGAAAGCTGAGATGTTCGCGGTGGTTACCTTTGTCGAGAAATACAGGGCATACCTGGGCAGTGAGCCATTCAAGTTGCGAGTCGACAACAGAGCACTGAGCTGGCTGAAAACGTACTCAATGGACCAAAGTTACATTGGGAGGTGGATGGTGCGCCTGGACGGATACAACATGATAATTGAGCATAGAACGCGAGATAAACATCAGAATGCCGACAGCTTGAGTAAGAAGACGGAGTTCTATGAGAGACAAGAGCAAAGAGAAGCAGACAGACCTGAAATCAAAGATGGCTTCTCATTCATGGACAAGGAAACGTACGACAGTCTTCCACTCACGAGATGGCTGGACAAGTCAGGCAAACCGATAGAAGATCATCCTGAATTGCCTAAAGAGCCTCCAGAGAAGACCATCTTGAGGAAGAGCAAGAGGATTCCGATTGAGATTATACTCAAGTCGAAGATCGTGAAGGAGACGCTCAAGGCAAAAGGCTATGATCTTAACCAGATGGAAGCAGGAACTGCACAGATAGATGATGACTTAATGAGGTTGCTCGAGAAACTATCAGATGATAAGCCAGTGATCCAGGAGAAGGGTAAAGAGAAACCGGAATTCACTATACTTCGGAGAAAAGAGACAGTGAACGATACTGACTCATCAAGAGGAAGCGTCACTGACAGCAAAGATGTCGTGCGGTCACTAGTTGACAAAATCCCCGAAGACATTCTGGAGCAGACCAAGGTTAGGAAAAAGAAAGTGACGTTCAAGGAAGATACTGAACACCTGGGACTAGGTCAAGAGTCGGGGAGTGTTCCAGGTTCACGGAAGAAGGAACCGGAGAAGGAAAATTGTCCGGGGAGCGTGAAGGATGGGATGAAGACTCGGATGAGAGCAGCGAAAACCAGGACAGTCTGTGCATGATACTGGCGGAAGAGAAGACAAGGTACCACGACAGGGAGTTACAGACGGATCCATCTTCAGGAACATACAACATGGACATACAGGAGATGCGAGGTGGTGAGGAACTTGAGAAAATTGCGGTCGCAAGGAAACCATTCAGGGAACTATCATGCAACTCAAACATCAGAACGAATCTGGTGCCAGAAGATGATATGAAAATCGTGAAAAGGATGATATGCGTGAAACTGAGTGATGACATCCACAACCCTGGTGAGATGAATGGACAGATCATGGCGCTAAAGGAGCATATCAAGGCAAGATATAGGCTGTCAGACCTAATAAGAGCCCAGAAGAATGACAAAATGACAAGTAACCTCTCCAAATGGATCCAGTCGGGGGTCAAGGAGAAGGGGGAACTTGAGGAAGACAGCTACAAGATCTTGAGCCAGTTCTACAAAGAAAAGAAAGACTTATTTTATCACACAGCTGATGGAGTGGTAGCGTGCAAGAGGAGAGATGAGGAAAAGATATTACACAAACACAACCTCATCATACTACCACAATTGTACCAGACAGAGGTGCTTTTCAGATCACACGACCAGATGGGTCACCAGGGGATAGACAAAGTACAACAAAGGATACTTCACAGATTTGATTGGCCAGGAATGAGAAAAGCTTGCGAGAGATGGGTGAATGCCTGCCTGGCATGTCTCCAGGTAAAAGACCCAAGGAAGATGAAGTTTCCCCTCAAGTCCGTTGAGAGCTCGGAGTTCAATGAAGTGGTGCAGATAGACCATCAAAAAATCTTCATGACAGAGTCGGGATACAACCAGATACTGGTTATAATAGATCACTTCACAAAGTTGGCGGAAGCGGTTCCGTGCCAGACAGCCTCGGCCGAAGAGACATGTGATCATCTGATAACGCATTGGATATCGCGGTATGGTTGTCCAATGACTTTCCAGTCGGACAACGGCAAAGCTTTTGTGGGGGACTTGACAAAAGAATTGATGAAGAGATCGCACATTGCTCAAGCACACTCGACGACCTATCATCCGCAGACCAATGGGTTGGTAGAGAGACAAAACAGGACACTGGTCAACATGTTAAGGGTGTACTGCTCAAGATACATGACGGACTGGGACAAATACCTGCCACAGGTAGTAGGAGCCTACAACAGTACACAGCACTCAACTACGGGCATCAGTCCTTTCATGATGTTGACGGGCAGGGAGAGAGCAATGCCTCTGACATTCTTTTACCCGGAATACGAGGGGAAAAGGACGTCGCCTCAGGCATATGTGAAAGAAGCGATCAAAAGACAACAGGAGTTGAACGAGCTATGCAGGAGGAACACGGCGCAAGCGCAAATGAGGCAACGCAGGAAATACGACGAAAAAATATTAAGAGCAAAGCCATATGAAGTGGGCCAATACGTGTGGGTCTTCCAAAATGTAATACCGCCCAAGGGAACAAAGAAACTACTCAAGAAGTGGAGGGGACCATTCATGATAACGGAGGTTCATCAACAAGGACGGTTCTATCGCTTGAGTACTGGGCGAGCGGCACATTATGAAAATCTGAAGCCTCACGTCCCGTCCCCAGAGGATTGGTGCATACCGAAGGACATGGAGGGTCTTGAGTACCTGGTGGTAGAGCCAGCGTGTGAAGTGAATGAGAAAGGTACTCGAGAGAAAAATGATAGTAATGAGAACTTGAGTTTGGACGACAATGAAAAGATAGGAGTGGGGTCTGATGCAGGATCATTTGTAGAAGAAGACTGGGACGACCCGGAGCAAGACGAGGTGCCGAAGTGGATGGAGCCGGATCGACCAACCCCACCGGAAACCAGGACTGGCAATCGTAAACGCACCGGCATGAGGTACAACAGGTACGGGGATGACTTCTTGATCGATAGGATACAGCCAGACAATTTGGGCGAGGAATTACTGAAGGTAGGCGAACTGGAAGCCGGAGAGGAATGGCAGGTCATTGACGATGGTGGTCATTATCCGCAGGATGATTACTCGACGCCAGAAGTAGAAACGGATCTCGAACAGAGTGAGATAGAGAGGAGGGAGAACACGAACTTGAGGATTCTAGAAGGGATGCGTGATGTCAAAGACGAGAGCCGCGAAGGACAAAGCATTCAGCAAGTCGATGTATCAGCAGCAAATTACATGAAGACAGAGGACCCTCTTTTCGGATGGACGGCAACAGACAGGCCACTGGACATTCCTCAGGACAATTCAGACCCGACAACATCGACGGGGACGTCGATAAATATTTTTGTCCGGGGAGTGGGGGTAGGACTTACCCACACCGAAAATTTGATGATAAAGAAGCTCAAGGAAGTGAGAGAAACGAGCGAATTGGAACTGGAGGAAGAAGAGCCACAGCCTACTATAGGTCGGAATTTCAAAACGAAATTCGAAATACCCAATGAATACTCGGAGAACATCATGATAACGGATAGCGACTTCATCCTGTCAAACAGGACCAGCGCGATCTGCATCACGGTGGACATGAGTTTCAAATCAAGATTGGAAGCTGACTTCAAAAGAGAGTACCAGAATGTAGAGTTTCTGTTCAGACAGAGACCAGGACTGGGAGGGATGGCAGCGCTTCCACCGTCAGTGGCACAAGTCCCGGGCAAATATCTGTGCTTCCTAGTAACGAGGGTCAATGACAGGAACACAATTGATCCCAAACACGTGATATTGGCACTAACAAGATTACGAGACTTCATGATTGAAAGAGGGATAACAGAGGTCTCAATGCCGGTGTATGACCCAAACAGGGGCAAACTGA